GGGCGCCGAGGTGCTGGCCCGGTGCGCCCCTGGAGAGCGGCGCGGCGGAGGCGGTGCCACTGGCAGCAGGCCACCCCTCTCCCTCTTTCGCGTCCGTTTACCCATTCTTTTATTCAGGATCGTTTTCCCTGTCCGTGCGGGACTTCGACCAGAACCAGGGAGAGGTGGTGAAACATTACAAGATCCGTAACCTGGACAAAGGGGGCTTCTACATCTCCCCCCGCATCACGTTCCCCGGCCTGCACGAGCTGGTCCGCCATTACACCAGTGAGCGCAGCGGTCGCCCCTCAGGCGTGGGCCTGAGGCTCCTTCCCCTGTGCCCCATCGGCCTGCCTCCCCCAAGTCCCTCTCGGGGTACCCTCTGCCCAGCACTAAGTAGGCGCCTTCATCCCCGCCAGGGGGTGAGGTGCTGGACCCTATAGCCGCAGGTGTCCCACACCTCCCCTGCCAGTCCAGTTCCCGAGACGGGACCTGGTGAAGAGGGGCCTGGGGGGGTACTCGAGTCCCGCCGTGTTCACCGCTCTGCTCCCTCCCTTGTCCTCGCAGATGCTCAGGACGGGCTGTGCACGCGGCTGAGCCGCCCCTGCCAGACCCAGAAGCCCCAGAAACCGTGGTGGGAGGACGAGTGGGAGGTTCCCCGGGAGACGCTGAAGCTCGTGGAGCGGCTGGGGGCTGGCCAGTTCGGGGAGGTGTGGATGGGTGAGTGCGACCCTCCAGGGCTACCGGGAGGAGGGAGGGGGGAAGTTTGCTGAGGTGGGGGGAGGGGAGACGTCTGCTGAGGTGGGGAGGGTCCCGCGACAGCCTGGGTGCCGCCAGGCTCCGAGCGACTTCCTCCATCCCCTCCCCACTCCAGGGTACTACAACGGGCACACAAAGGTGGCAGTGAAGAGCCTGAAGCAGGGCAGCATGTCCCCCGACGCCTTCCTGGCCGAGGCCAACCTCATGAAGCAGTTGCAACACCAGCGGCTGGTCCGGCTCTACGCGGTGGTCACTCAGGAGCCCATCTACATCATCACCGAATACATGGAGAACGGTGGGCGCCGCCGCCGCACGCGGCCGCTGGGGGGCGCTGCCGTCCCCCCGCTCCTGCTAGAGGGCGGAGGAGACTTGCTTTTTTTCCTGGCTCGGCGCTGAAAGTTGCTAGAGTTTTCCTGGGCACCTAAAGACTCACCTCCTCGGGCAAGAAGAGAGTGTGTCCTCCGAGCCCATCTGCGAGCCCAGCCTAAGGTGGCAGGCTCTGGAAGAGCCTTCAGCCCGGATCTTCCCTGACCTGCAGTTCCATTTGCCCTCTTCAAAGCCCTACCTTGATCTAAAGATGCTTGTTCTCAGGAAATCAGTGGGTCCCTAGTCCCATTTCTTTCCCTTGTGCCCTAGTCTTGGGAGGCCAGATCTGCCCCAAAGCCCTTGTTTTTAGTTCTGGGCGAGCTCTTCCCCCTCTCTTGGTCTGCTTTTGGACAGAGTAAGAGTCCCAGAAGGTAAATACGAATTTCCAGGCCCAGTTTTGCCACTGATTTGCTCTGACACAGGCCAAGTTCCTGATCTGCATCTGCTGCTCAGTTTCCTTAAGAATAACCACAAAAATCTAATCGGTTCACCCAGAAATAATATAGAGAAGTTATTAAGGTCTCTAGAGTCTGACTGCTTGAGTTAGAATTCTGGCTTCACTGGGACTGAAGGGTCGCAGATTTGATTCCAGCCCTGGTCTCAGCGCTTGCAACCAATCAATGTCTCTGTCATCTGTTTCTCTCTCTCTCCCTTTTCCAGTCTCTCTGAAAAGCAATAGACAAAATATCCTCTGGCAAGGATTTAAAAAAAAAAATTCTGGCATCACAATTGTGTGGCCTTGAGCTCATCACTTCACTCCTCTCTGCCATGGTGTCCTCATCTGTAAAATGGCAGTTATAACGCAAGAGTACCTTTCTCGTAGGTTTTTATGGAGATGAAAGAGTTAATGCATACAGAGCAGTTAGAACAGTGCCTGCCCTGTATTAACTGCTCAGTAAGTTTGTTATCTGGCTCTTACTCTTTGGGAATACAAGATCTCTCCCTCTTTCAGGAAGGGAAAAGAGCTGTGCATTGGCTAATAGATTATGGAAATGGCAAATAGGTTTTATCATATGAACCAACTTTAATTGGTAGTTGCTTGGAATTCTGTGTTGAGAAGGATTCTGAGGCTTATTGGAAGTGAGTGCTAGGATTGATTAGCGGCATCTGCCATGGACTCGGAGGAATGGCAGTACATGTCACATATTTGCTGCATCTAGGTGAGGCCTTTATCTTTGGTGACTAAACACTCACCGTGGGGACACTCAGGTTGCTGTCATTGCACAGGGTTTTAATCTCTTGAGAAGGGACCGCAGTCACTTTTTAATGCATTCAGCACACATTTATTGCTGCTTACTTTGGACTGGACACTGGAAACGGGTGAACAAAACAAGGTGCCTGCTATCAGGAAAATCTCATTTTAGTTATGCACACTAGGAAAACCAGTTTATGACACACAGAAGTTCTCGCATCCCACAGGGAATGTAGATGATGATGTAATTTATTATGTCTAGTAGGATCTAGAAAAGCTTCCTAGAGGAATAGTCTAGCTGGGCCATGAAAGAAAAGTAGAATTTTTATTAAGCAGAGATGGGACAAAGAGACTTTGGGGTAAGAGCTCAGTGTTCTATGTGAAAAATGTTGAAATTGTCTAGGGCTGGTGGAATAAAAAGCAGGAGTAGGGGGAAGAGAAGAAACTACAAAGTGGACAATGCAGGGCTTTGGATATCTGGCTGAGTAGTTTGGCCTCTACCACATTGGTGACAAAAAGCTTACAGATCCCTTTAAGAATGCCCCATCCTAATCCCCAGGGAAAAACTTTCACATATCCCAGGTATCCTCACTCTGAACACACACTCCTCCATTTTCGGCCCTAACTCTTCCTTTAGGATCCCCACTACACACAGTTAGGGGAGAAGGATCCGGGAGCTCCCCCCTGGGACAACTTGGGTGAGAAACTCTTGCTTCTGCCCACAGGGAGCCTGGTGGATTTTCTCAAGACCTCTGCAGGCATCAAGCTGACCATCAACAAACTCTTGGATATGGCAGCCCAAGTAAGGAGACGTGGGAGGATTGGGCACGGGCACAGGGTAAGGATGTCTGGCCCATGACTGCTGACCTATACCTGACCTGCAGATTGCAGAGGGCATGGCGTTTATTGAAGAGCGAAATTATATCCACCGTGACCTGAGGGCTGCCAACATCCTGGTGTCTGACACCCTGAGCTGCAAGATCGCAGACTTTGGCCTCGCACGCCTCATTGAGGACAACGAGTACACAGCCAGGGAGGGTAGGTGTGGGATATAAGAAAAGTCTTGGGCCTATAGGGTCTGGCCAAGCAGACCCAGGTGACCTCACTCTTCCTCCCGCCCAGGGGCCAAGTTTCCCATTAAGTGGACAGCACCAGAAGCCATTAACTATGGGACCTTCACCATCAAGTCGGACGTGTGGTCTTTTGGGATCCTGCTAACGGAGATTGTTACCCATGGCCGCATCCCTTACCCAGGTCAGGGTCCAAAGCGGGAACTAAAAAGGGTGATGGGGAAGGGCAGCAAAATCCGTCTTTCCGCTCACTTCTTCCCAGACTCAGAATCTGAAAACTTTCTAGCTGCTTTCCCTCCATTTTCTGAGATGTGACTCCAATATCCCCAGTGAGGTACCACATCAACCATGGCTGGCTCCCATCTCTGTCTCTGGATCTATCTCTCTCCCGTTAATAATCCTAGTTCTTCTCTTTAGTTCTGACACAGGCAGCCTAGTATGGGTGAAAAGGATCTGGCCTGAGAGACAAGAGGCCTGCCTTTCATTACCAGATCTGCCATGATACATACTAACTTTCTGTTTGATCAGATCATTCCTTCTTTTCCCATCTGTAAAATGTAAGGTTAGAATATTACCTGGCTCATATTAAGCACTCAAGAGTGTTAGGTTTTGTTATTAATCAAGTGACTTTGGACAGATGACTTCACCTCTCTGAGCCTGTTTCCTGATATGAAAAACAGGACTATTTGTGCAAGAGCTTGACTTATAATAGGTGTTCACTAAACACTGACTTCCCTTCCCTCTGAAGCATTCTGTCTAAAGAGTAAGAGACACATGTAAGTAACTAATTCCCACCCTCTCCCACCCCTCTTACCTCCTGGACAAAGTCCTTTACCCCTGAATTCAGCCAAGACAGGGATGGAATTTTTTGAAAGGAACTTGCTAGGAAACTGGGGAAAGGAAGTGGAACACAAAGACAGGGCACAGAGGTCATGGAGCACAGTCACCGGGTTTGTAGAAGCTTCTCACATCCCGAGAGCAGTGTGCACAGAACTTTGCTCTTAGGAAGGCAAAGGCACCTTAGAATCAGGTGAGAGCCTGAAGGATTTCCCTGCCCTGGACTTGCCCCATCACAGAATCCAGGGAGAGTGCTGGGGCTAGAAGTCTACTCTAGTCATCCTGCCAAGGACCCTCACTGCTCCTCCACTGTGCCCACAGAAGTGAATCCATAGAGAATATCTCTGTTAGAAGAAAAAAAGCATTGAAAACATGATGATAAATGGCAGCTGACACGTGGCTTCAGGGTCAGGGAGACAATGGGGACCTGGATGAACTTGCATCTGCCCCAGCAGATGGTTGCCCTTAAGATACCAGGGCCAAAAAAAACAGATTTTGTGGTGGTGTTTTTTTTCCAAGAGAAGCCAAAACTTGCAGCTTTAGAAAAATTTGCCCATTTCCAAAATTTGGCAATTGAGTCAAATTGTTTAAAAACACTATAGAAGCCAAACCAAAGTATGTCTATAGACTATATTTAGGCTGGATTTAGCCTATGGGTTCAAAGCCTTGGCTCTAGCCTTGGGTGTTAGTTCCATGGCCTATGTCCTCCAATGTGCTAATTTTGAAATGTGAGGGATCCATAGCCGGAGGCCTCCCAGGGACAAGGCCTGAGCAAGAGCATGTCTATTGAGCAGGGTTCATTCCCAAGCTTTGCAAGAGCAAAACTTCTATTTTGCCAGGACCCTGTAAGGGTTTAGTATTTGGGAACTGCCTGTCACAGTCTCCTCTCAGAAGACTGAAGGAGAAATAGAGGCCACATGGGAAATTTAAAAACAGGCATCTGTCTTTATCATGATCATGCAGTTCTCCAGATCAGGTCCTCTAGAGCTCCACATGCTAGGAGCCTGCCAGATGGGCCAGGACCAGCACAAAGGGAGGGAACTGGCCCCAAAATGATTTCATGATTTCATCTGGGTCATAGAAGGACCTGGTAGATTTCTGCCCCATGCAGAGTCTGCTTTGCTGGGGCCCAGAGTCCATCTGGCTTCCTGATGTAGCATCTCTTGTGCCTGGTCCCAAAGCTAGAGAGGCCTCACCGTTGAGGTGGCTGTGGGCTCCCATCCTGCCCTGGGCCCTGACCGCCATGTGCTTCCCCATCAGATAACAATAATCACAAGTGTTATTTATGCAGTTTCTCCTCCCCAGGTTCTTTATATGCACTATCTCATTCAGTCTTCATAAGAACTCTGTGAGGTAGGAGCTACTATTTGTTCTGTTTTCCAAATGAGAAAGCTGACGCTCAAAACATTGAGGTGGCTTCCAAGGTCTCACAGCCAACAGGTGTGTGGTGTTGTCTAAACCATAGCAGATACTCCAAGGGGCACAACTGACACTTAGCAGGTGCCTATACTGTTGATGAAGACCAAGATCCTTTTGGATTGGTGCTCACACCGTAACAGCTAAACATTCTGAACATTGCCCCTGCCTGTGGGTTTCCAAAACCTGGAGCCTTGATGTTTTTTCTCCCATCAACCTCCAGGGATGACCAATCCTGAGGTGATTCAGAACCTGGAGCGAGGCTACCGCATGGTGCGACCTGACAATTGTCCAGAGGAGCTGTACCACCTCATGATGCTGTGCTGGAAGGAGCGCCCAGAGGACCGACCTACCTTTGACTACCTGCGCAGCGTGCTGGAGGACTTCTTCACAGCCACGGAGGGCCAGTACCAGCCCCAGCCCTGAGAGCCCCAGCTGGGCCTGGAGCCCTGCCCTCATCTAGCCAACCTGGCTGGGGAGAAGCAGTTTTTGTGCCATACCCATGTGGCCTATGCACATATGGACACTGCATGTGGATCTTACCCACATGTGACACATATGCCTCTTATGTTTTATACACCAGTTCTTTAGTTGTGTGGGTTCTGCATGTGTCTCGTACATGTACAGCCTGTGCATATATGTCTTGGACAACTGTCCAAGCTATCCCTTTCTGGGCCCTCCCACTTCCTGAGACCACTTGAGAAAGGAGAGAGGCCTGCGATCGACACCAACTTCTGCCTGCCCCCTTTTCCTTTCCCCCGATCAACAAGAAGCTCCTTGAGGAGGGGACCTTATCTAATACCTCTGTGTGCTCCTCTTTGGTGCCTGGCACACATCAGGAGCTCAATAAATGTTTGTTTGTTGATGATGAAGATTGAGCATTTCTCTGCTCTGCACTCCCATTTCTTCTTCCCTGTGAGGGGAGAGTGGGGGTTCAGAAGATGATAACCATGAATTGGGGTGAAAGATGGAATGAGAGGATGTCTGAACTTTTTCCAGCTCTGCTGATGCTGAGGGCCAGGAGGAGGTCCCTATGCTTTCCTGTCTGGGCTCTTTGAATCCTTTTAGACCCCTGCCCCAAAGGATTCAGGGGCAACCCCTATTCAGAACCTCTTAGGGAGTAGATGTGTCCCAGGACCCTCCCCCTCCCATTATATAAGAGCAATAGCGTTTTTTACAGCCATTAATTCAAGGACTATATTTGGTCTCAGATATGTTTTGGTTCACCTTCAAGATGTTTTAAAATATTGAGCTAATTCACTCATTTAATCAATATTTTTTGAACATCTATTGTGTGTCAGGCACAGTTCTGGGTTCATAGGATATACAGTAGATAAAACAAAGTCTGCCCTTGTGGAGCTTACATTTTAGTAAGGGAAGACACAATGAACATCACAAAGAAGTAAATGATATGGTATGCTACAGGGCAATGAGTGCTAAGGGGAAAAGAGAGCAGGACAAGGGGATTTAGGAATGTCATGCTTGGGGAGCTTGGCATTTGAGGGTGGTTTGGGAAGGCTTCATTGAGAAGGTGACTGAGCAAAGATTTGAAGGAGGTAAGTGGGTGAGTCACTTGTGGGGGAGGAGTTGGTTGGGTATCAGGAACAGCCTGAGGCAGAAGCTTGCCTGGCCAGCTTGGAGACGTAATGGCTGCTTGAGGGCGGGGAATAGGTCCTCCGGGGCCCTGGGGTGTTTGCAGGAGCCATTTTGAGGAAACTTTACAAGAATTTCTGCAGGGCCACGACGTGATCTTACATTTTTAAAGGATGGCTCTTATTGCCCTCTTGATAATAGACCGAGTTAACAGTCAATTTGTAAAACTGAGGAGATTTGCCCTGGCCAGGTGGCCCAGTTGGTTAGAGCAACGTCCTGATAAGCCAAGGTTGCAGGTTCAATCCTCAGTCAGGGCACATACAAGAAGCAACTAATGAATGCATAAATAAGGGGAACAACAAATTGATGTTTCTCTCTCCTTTCCTCTCTCTCTCTCTCTCTCTCTCTAAAATAAATACATAAATAAAGCTGAGGAGAGTTTGCATAAAACTCCAGATATCTGCTTCTCTTTTTTATTTTTAAAAAGGAAGATTTGGTTCCCTTGGTTTTATCTATCCTCATGGAGCTGAGTAGGGGCCACCCTCTTCAGGTGGGGCATCGGTCCTCCCTTTGCCAGAGTCCCCTCCACTCCCTACTTCTCCCAGACAACGAAACGGTCTGTAGCTTTTTGTCATCATATTTGAGCTGTTGTTCTTATAATAAAGAGAAAAATGAAATGGTTTTTTTGTACCCACATTTCCGTTAAAATGTGAGAAAATTAAAGACACCTAAAGATGGCAGTGTGTTTGAAGAAAGATGGGGGAATTCTTTAAGAAAGTGAAAAAATTCAATTTTTAAAATACGCAAACAAAGTGCTTGAATCAAACTTATATATATATATATATATATATATATATGCATATATTATATATATATCCACTCATTTACATCACCTGCCTGACCCCTGTTGGCCTTTGAGTTTGTGAATTCTGTTCTGCATTTTATAAGATGCTGCCACACCCATGGCCTCGTTTGGACACTGTGCAGCTATAGTCAGTGAACTTTGTAGTCTCACTCTTTCCATTTAATGAAGAGGGAAATGGAGGCTGAGAAAGATTCCTAGATAGGGAGCAGCAACGCAGAAATGGTAATAGGGTCTATTCCCTGGCCCTTTGCTGTTTCTATGATAGAACTGCCCTGTCTTAGATGTGTTACCTTTATTCATAATTAATGGTCCAAATGCGGTTCCCAAGTGAGGAACACAAGTGCATAAGCCCCCTTTAAACTGTAAAGAGGCGTAAAAATGTATCTTAATCACTATAGGACCATGAGTGAGTAACTTACTTGGCACACAGTAAACATCCACTAAATATTAATATTGTTATTTTCATAGCCCATCACAGTGTTTTAGTCTTTCAGTTTTCAATGACCATTTGATCTAGTGCAGCAGTTCTCAAAGGGCAGGGTGCTGGGCAATTTACACTCCCTCCCATCTCTTCCCCCCTTGCCCTGGAGACATGTAATGTCTGGAGACAATTTTGGTTGTCACAGTGGAGGGGGAATAGAGGCCAAGAATGCTGCTAAACATCCTACAGTGCACAGGACAGCTTCCCACAATAAAGAATTATCCAGCCCAGCCTTGGCTGGTGTGGATCTGTTGGTTGAGCATTGTCACATGCACTGAAAGGTCAAGGGTTTGATCCCAGGTCAGGGCACATGCCCAGGTTCCTATCAGCATTTCTCCCTCACGTTGATGTTTCTCTCTCTCACCCTGTCTAAAACGAATAAAAATATACCCTCCTCTCTGGCTGGTGTAGTTAGAGCGTCGGCCCTTGCACCAAAGAGTAGAGGGTTCAATTCCTGGTCAAGGGCATGTACCTGGGTTGCAGATTTGATCCCTGTTGGGGGAGGGGGCAATCAACCCATGTGTCTCTCTCACATTGATGTTTTTCTTCTCTCTCTCTCTCTCTCTCCCCTGCCCCCCTTCCTTTTCACTCTATCTAAAATCAATGGAAAAATATCCTCAGGTGAGGATTAACGACAACAAAATACATATCTTCTAATGAGGATTTAAAAAAAAAAACAACCCAGCTCAAAATGTCAATAGCTTTAATAGCATGAGAAACCTTGTGCCAGTGTAAGGGCAATCAGTCTCCTCCTGCCTAAAGGCACTCCTTAGTCCCCGTGGGTAACTGCATTAGGGAGGTAGGCTTTGGAGTAAGAAAGACTGGGTTCCACCACTTTGCTACAGTGTCTCTGGTGCATAGTAGGCATTCAAAATATGTGTACAAATGAAAACTGAATTTAATTACTAATTGTATGACTCTGGGCAAGACACAAAGGTCTCGACTTCAATATGTTTATCTGTAAAATGGGATAAAAATCCTCCTCCAAAACTGTTGTGAGGAATAATTAGAATAACTGAGATAACCTTGGTAAAGCCGTTGCACAGTACTTGACCTACAGCACTTTTATTTCCTTTGTCAGTTAATTTCTCCCTCCTCCAAACCCGAGTTCTAGTCCAGTTGAGTGACCTTGTGCAAGTCACACATCCCCCGCTCGCAGGCCTCGGTGGATTCTCTGTAAAATAACAAAGTTGGCCTCTGATCTCCAAGCACGCATCCACCATCGAAATGGGACTGTGAAGTTTATAGACTGGCTTTCTTCCCCCGAGACTAATGGTACGGTCTCTAAGCAGCTCCCCCACCCCCCTGTCGCGGACCTTGGTACAGGCCCAGGGGGCCCTGGGCTGCCTCTCCAGGCTGCCCTTGCCCCCTGCCGAGTTCCGGGCCCGTCCCTGCGCAAGCTGATTGGCTGGAGCAGTGCCCGGGCTGCGCGGCTATAGGTGAGCCTGGGAGGGGCGGGCGGAGCGGGCTAGAGGCCCGCCCCCTCCCCCCTGGGTCGGACGCGGAGCTGAGCCGCGGGCGGGAGGCCTGACGGACCGACCGACGGACCAGAGGGACGGGAGGCGAGCAAGATGGCGCAGACTCAGGGCACCAGGAGGAAAGTCTGTTACTACTACGACGGTGAGCACGGTCCTCGCGGCGGGGGCGGGGCCTGGCCGGGCCGAATCCGGGAGCGGGAGGCTGCGGAGACCTGCGAGGGGAGGCTGGGAGAGGCGAGGCGTTGGGGAAAGGCTGAGAGAGGAGGCTGAGGGGAAAGGAGGTCGGGGCTGAGGGAGGAGGCTGAGAGAAGGAGGTCGAGACCGAGGGAGAAGCTCAGAGGAGGGAAGTCTGAGCTGAGGGAGGAGGCTGAGAGGAATGAGGTCGGGCTGGGGAAGGAGGTCGAGACTAAGGGAAGAGGCTCAAGAGGAGAAGAGACCGAGGCTGAGGGAGGAGGCTGAGAGAAGGAGCTCGGGCCTGCGGTAGAAGCCTCAGAGGAATGGAAAGGAGGTCGAGACTGAGGGAAGAGTCTGAGGCCGAGGGGGCCGCTTGGGGAAGCCTGAAGTGATCTTGGTGGGGAGTTCTGAAGTCTGATGGGAGAGTTTGAGTGGGACTCCTAGAGGGGAGGCTGAGTCCAGGGGGGGGAGGCAGAATATGATGGGGAAGGTCGAAACGGTATGTTTTCCTCCTGAGAATACCAAGATCTTTCACTGCACCTTTCCTTCTCATCCTTTTTGGGGAGAGCCCTTCAGGAATCACCAACTAGTGGTCACCACTGTTCCCTACCCCCACCTCCAGTCTCTGAGCGGGGCCTGCAGTTGCTACTGGGAAATGGAGCCCTTGGGGTTGGAAGGAGAAGGATGCTACTTTTTCATTTTTAACAAAAATCTGTCCAGCTTACTCTGAATTAGGTAGCATGTAGGTGCTGGGACCAGGGGAATGAACAAGTCACTTATCATCTTCAGCTCAGTTTGGAGGGGGAGATAGTGACAGAGAATTGCTCTCCAGTGTCTTGCTAGGATAAAGGAACTCTCAGAGTGTTATAGGGGCACCAAGAAGAGGCACCCAGCCCAGCCTCAGGAGTTAAGGAAGGAGGTGCCATCTCAGTTAGGACCTGAAGAACAGAAGTTATTAGCCTGGCACAGGGAAGGCAAAAATAACCAGTTTAGAGATGAGAGAGGACAGCACCTTTGAAAAACAGCAGGTTATCTACACAGTATGCCTGAGGCATAGATTTGAGTGCAGAGTGTATGTAGAAGTAGGGAGCAGGGATAAGGGAAAGGTTGCAAGTGATGAGTCTGAAGTAAATGGGAACCTGAACAGGAAGGGCTAGGCATACTATCCCAAGGAAGTTGTACTTTATTCTGAGGGCGCTTGTGAATCATTGAAGTTTTGTGAAGATTAGTGACATTGCCCAGGTGGGTGTGGCTCAGTGGTTGGGCATCCACCTAGGATCCAGGAGATCTGGGTTCGATTCCCGGTCAGGGCACATACCTAGGTTGCAGGCTCCATCCCCAGTTGGGGGGCGTGCAGGAGGTAGCAGATCAGTGACTCTCTCATCATCCAT